ACAATGTCTAAACTATCTAACAGAGAAATACTAAATGTATAATGAATATATAGTATTCAGAACATTATATTGTTAGTCATTACCCATTCCAGAAATCTCAACGATTGGTCATCTGTTGGACCAATAGGGATTGAGAGCAGAGCGGGGCAGGTCAAGTGCGCGAGCATATATAGCAGGTGTCCAGGTGAGGTCCTCTCATCAACAGGATCACTCAGCAAACATGAGGTGTCTGGTTTTGGTTCTGCTCATTGCTGCGGCCTGTAAGTACATTCACACTCATGAGCATTATCTGTCACAAACTGTTGAAGCTAAGTCTGTGATGCTCTGGCAGACGCCGAGGACGACAAGATCGTCGGAGGGTATGAGTGCAAGGCCTACTCTCAGCCCCATCAGGTGTCTCTGAACTCCGGATACCACTTCTGCGGTGGATCTCTGGTCAACGAGAACTGGGTTGTGTCCGCTGCCCACTGCTACAAGTCGTACATATCAGAAATGTGAAAATGTGGCCTTTAGCAGCAGCTCTGACCTCAGTGCTTTGCAGTCGTGTTGAGGTGCATATGGGAGAGCACAACATCAGGGTGACTGAGGGCAACGAGCAGGTTATCAGCTCCTCCCGCGTCATCCGCCACCCCAACTACAGCTCCTACAACATCGACAACGACATCATGCTGATCAAGCTGAGCAGGCCCGCCACCCTCAACCAGTACGTGCAGCCTGTGGCTCTGCCCACCAGCTGTGCCCCCGCTGGCACCATGTGCCTGGTCTCTGGATGGGGCAACACCATGAGCTCCAGTGAGTAACACACAGGACATTTTCCTATCATGTATTATTATGAGTTATAAAGATACATAGTGCTCAGGAATTCTTTGATCAAGAACTATATCCCTGAAATAATGAGCGTTAATGTTTTTCTACAGCTGCTGACAAGAACAAGCTTCAGTGCCTGAACCTCCCCATCCTGTCCGACAGAGACTGTAATAACTCGTACCCTGGCATGATCACCAACTCCATGTTCTGTGCTGGATTCCTTGAGGGAGGCAAGGACTCTTGCCAGGTCAGTCCACTGCTGCCCCCAACAGAATAAGATCACATAGCCCTGTGTCCCGCCTGTGTAGTGACCGTGACCTGCTCTTCCCTCAGGGTGACTCTGGTGGCCCCGTGGTGTGCAACGGTGAGCTGCAGGGAGTTGTGTCCTGGGGCTATGGCTGCGCCGAGAGGGACCACCCTGGAGTCTACGCCAAGGTATGAGTGTGTCCCGCTCAGTGAGGGTGTGTTGAGGCTCTCTGTCTAACTCTGTGTCTCCGTGCAGGTTTGCATCTTCAACGACTGGCTGGAGAGCACCATGGCCAGCTACTAAACTGCTGACACGATGTCTGGACTGACAACTGACATTTACCATCTCTGTCAATAAAAAAAAAGTCCTGTCATGCACCACCGCTGACCAGGATGTAGGCACTGACAATCCCCCGCTTTGGAGAGTCCCAACAGGTCATGTTCAGAGCCCTGTGTATTCAAACATGTATTGCCGTGGCTTTGATCCTTAAAGTGGACATATCGTGTTTTCAAATAATTGATTTTTACATCTAAATCATTAATTTGTGGCCTATATAAAGCGTGACTGCAATGCCTGGGTCTGAGTCTCATTATTTGTAGCTCCACGGGCCTTTCTTCTACACCTGTTCTGAGGTGCGTCTGAGAGCAACCTGTTTTGGTGCTGTCTCTTTAAATGCAAATGAGGCGCTTTTGACCACGCCCCCATCCAGGTGACACAGGTTCAACTCCACCCCGAGCGGCCATTTTTGTAGTTACTAAGCACAAATACAATTATCTCACAGAAACTTCTCATTACATCGCAAACATGAAGCAGGCCTTCCTCATTGACTGAAAGCAAATGTTAATTTTCATTCTTAGTCCAGTCTTATTATCAACTCTTCTCTTTTTAGCTTTGGGATGCGCACAGTCTATGATGCTCACACGCCGGTTTGTTTACAACAGCGGCCGCCTGGCGCGGGCCTACGTCGCAGGATATGACGCACTACGTTGACAGAAATGTTTAAATTGAATATTACTTATGCACAATTTTACAGCATTTAAAAACTTTAAGAACGTTTTTCCTTCTACAGAAGGAAAGAGACGAATGTGCCTCTGGAGCCGCAGGTTGCCGACTCCTAGTATATACAGTATGTGGAAGGAAAAACTGTAGAGGATCAGGATATGTGCAGTTTCAACAATAAAATAAAATGCAATAGTCTACATTACAAGAGAGTAATGAACATGTCTCAGAGTGAGGGAGGTGGACACAGACAACACTATTGTTTGTTACAGGGATGAGAATTGGTCAAAAAAGACTGAAATGCATATTGTCAACCATTTGCTGGCTCTAAATCTGTTTAATTTGTTTACAACATATTACTTTTGGACTCAAACATGAACTTTTTATTCAATGCAAAATGTAGGTATCAGAGCTTTATTTAGGGCGTTTAATCGCGCTGCGAGAGGAGAGGGGAGACGCGGACTGTTTCCTGCAGCAGTGTATTTATTGGGTGCACAGATTACTCAAAGACACGCATGGTCCTGTGCGCATTTATGGGGTTGGGTACATGGCCACGTTGAGGCTGCGCGCTCAGCCACAACACGGTGGAGCGGCTGCGAGCGGATTGGACGGCTGGACCATGGATCTATTATAATAACTGGATAGGGTATTACTAGCTTGTAGCTGAATAACTCACGTGCTCAGGGGATTCTCGCGGTACTGCAGACTGAACCAGACTAAACTCACGTGGGCTACCCAGAAATTTTCCCCATAGAACTCAATGCATAATAAAACAGCTCAACCTCAGCTGACAGGGAACCTACAGCTTTAATAAAGATCGGATTTTGTGGGGATTTTAGTGTCCCTTGTTATCCTGAACTTTTTTTCTTCTTAAATCCTTTGGTTTTGTTTAAATCCACACTTTAGTGCCACAAACTCTGCTCGTCTGGCTCTCGCTCTAACTCCCGCTCTGATGAACTGCTCTGATTGGTCAGAGCGCGGCCGAGCCCCTCTGTGCACGTGCGTGAGACCCGGTGTGAGACCCACACACGCGTGTTTGGCGCAACGCATTATGGGAGATCATCCACTGCGCAGAACCGGGAGGACCAGACGATGCCCAAATACAGGCGAGTTTCCCATAGATCTTTGCGAGTTTCAGGCAACTTCCGCTAATCTTTCAGCCCCCATGCCGTCACAAAGCGCCACTGAGCACTGTCACTCCCGTATTCGTCCCGGAAACCGGATTTGTCCGGAAGTTCAGTTTGATCCAATGAGCAAACGCAGCAGTAGATTACGTCACGGAATCTGGACGGAAGCGGAAGTAAATATAAAAAACTAACTATTCATGCCTAAACTTAACCAGCCATTCCCATAAAATAACCCAAACCCAGCCTTAACCCTAAACTTAACCATCTTAATCAGACGCCTAAATTTAACCAGTCTCCACTTAAGGACATATTAAACTTTTTGACATGCGCAAACTGAACTTCCGGACGAATCCGGTTTCCGGGACGAATACGGGAGTGACAAGCACAACCATTCATTTGAATAGGGCGCCATCTTGGATCGCCGGGGCTTGGGCTGGACGCTCACAGCCTCTCGCAGCCGCTGGACGCGGAAGCTGCTCATTACAAAGCGGCCGCAGATGCCCCGGAACACTGCGGCCGCTGAGGTGGCGGAATCCCGTTCGAGTACATTCAGCAGGTTCCCCGCGGATACGCGCGCCCCGCTCAAAAAATTCGTAACGGATTTACACTTCTCATAAACATGTGTTTTGTATGAGGCAGACAGACCGGCCCAAATATGGGCATCGGCCCTTTGGGCATTGCCCGGTACGCCCGATGGCCAGTCCAGCCCTGTTCGCTGGCATCCTTGAGCTTGGACTACAAATTAGAAGTGATGCACAGTAGAGGAGTGTTTTGTTAGACGCCCATGCCCTTATGTAGCAGTCTCGCTGCAAATACTGTGACGTAATAATTCTAAACACATAATAGAGAAAGGCAAATTCAGAACGGGTTGAAATATCTTACCTAAACAGAATATGAAGTGTTCTCTGCAACCCATGAAGAGACTGATTTAAACTTTTTTGCACTTCTAGAGGCTCCAACTACACAACATAAGGCATTTAAGGCACAAAAAGTGGATTTTTTATGATATGTCCCCTTTAACATCATGTGTGGGCGGGCGTTTGAGTGTGGCAAAAATCCATAGATTGTGGACTAACCACACAGGGCTAATGGCTGATGTTCTCCACTGTGTGTGCCTTGGGGCAAGAAACTACAGCTCCTAAATGTGCTCAATAAATTAATGGAAATTGATTGAATGGCTGAATGCTTGTTTAAAGTGTGTTTGAAAATTGTGACTGTACATATAATACAGTTTCAAGATGTTGCTAAAACATACTATTCCTGAGATCAGTCAAGTGATATTTCGTAGCTTTTTATGATATTCAGTCAATACAAATGTGAAGGAAGGGCTAGAGGGGTTTTACATGAATTTGGATGCAGAATTTTGTTGAAGAGGATGGCATCATGCTGTTGCTTGGCAGCGAACTTGTTTATTGGGTATAATAACTCTAATACCCACTGAATATGTAACTTGGCGAATTAGAAAACCATTAAACCTACTACACACAGTGCGTGTCATTTTTTTCTGTATTCTTACTTACTGTTGTACAGATAAATAAACCTCTGAAGACTGTGCCCTGTCCATGGGATTACTGCGCACAGAGGAACCCTTCTTCTATTTTGATAGTACCCACCCGGACACATTTGGGAACGCGCTGTTGCTGGCGTGTGCTGCTAGCTCGGTGGTAGTCAAGTTGACCCATTCGTCCAGGTCATAGTTAGTTTCTTAACATTAATCCTACCATCAGAGAAACAAGATATTATGAGTAATTCAGTTTAAGACCGTATCCGCCGTGTGCGCAGAGATCTTCAGTGGTTTGTGTTGGACTGGAGAGGGCAAGATGAGACTCACGTTACAAGCGTTAATATCTCATGGCCGGGTCGCCCGGAGGATGGGTTTAGGTCCCGAGTCCAGAATCAACATGCTAAGGAACATCCTGACAGGACTCGTCCGATACGAGAGGATCGAGACCACCCTGGGCCGAGCAGACGAGGTCCGCTTCTACGCAGAGAAGGTGAGAGGGACACCAAGGGGACACCAGGGGGACACCAGGGGGACACCAAGGGGACACCAGGGGGACACCAGGGGGACACCAGGGGGACACCAGGGGGACACCAGGGGGACACCAGGGGGACACCAGGGGGACACCAGGGGGACACCAGGGGGACACCAGGGGGACACCAGGGGGACACCAAGGGGACACCAGGGGGACACCAGGGGGACACCAGGGGGACACCAGAGGGACACCAGGGGGACACCAGGGGGACACCAGAGGGACACCAGGGGGACACCAGAGGGACACCAGGGGGACACCAGGGGGACACCAGGGGGACACCAGGGAGTCACCAGGGGGACACCAGGGGGACACCAGGGGGACACCAGGGGGACACCAGGGGGTCACCAGGGGGACACCAGGGGGACACCAGAGGGACACCAGAGGGACACCAGGGGGACACCAGGGGGACACCAGGGGGACACCAAGGGGACACCAGGGGGACACCAGAGGGACACCAGGGGGACACCAGGGGGACACCAGGGGGACACCAGGGGGACACCAGGGAGTCACCAGGGGGACACCAGGGGGACACCAGGGGGTCACCAGGGGGACACCAGGGGGACACCAGAGGGACACCAGGGGGACACCAGGGGGTCACCAGGGGGACACCAGGGGGACACCAGGGGGACAAGTGTGTTTTTAGATTAAGATTAGGAGATTCTTTTTTCGTCTGAGTTACAGAACGGTATGAATGAGCAGCACACGATAAGTGAACAATAATTATACTAAATAAAATGAAACCTCTAACTCTAGTATACACGAAACATCTGTACAATCTTTTTAGCAGAATAAAGAAGTATAACATCTCTACCTTTGGCGTAATAATAAGCAAGTACAAGGCACTGTGTATTCTGGTGCAAGCAATATCATGTTGTATGTTTGTATCTGTGCATTAGCAGCATTAGGCTCTGCGACAAAGTGACTCAGTAAAGTGAAGCAGACTCTATGTCCTTCACTCATTAACTTCTATTTTAGTAAACAGAAACACTTCTGTCACAGTCATTTCTGTTACCGTTCTGCTGATTATACATTATGGAATCTCATCATCAAGCCCAGAAGTGCAATTAATTGTGTGTATTGATGTGTGCTGTTTCAAAAGCAATCAAATTTGCACCTATCACATGCTATGTATTGATTAATGTTCAAACATATTTTCAATCTTTTTATTTTCAGCTTATTGACTACGCAAAGAAAGGAGACACTGATGAGAAGGCAATGAGGATGGCCAGTTTTTGGTTGACGGTAAGTGTTTATCATACTTCAGTGGAGATAAGTCTCTGAGTTTAACATCAGGATGTGTATTGCTTGTGTTCTGTATAGGAAAAGGACCTGGTGCCAAAGCTTTTCAAGGTTCTTGCTCCACGATTTGAAAGTGAGACTAACGGCTACACTCGAATGGCGCGATTACCCAACAGAGAAAATTTGGACCGAGCAAAGATGGCTGTGCTGGAGTACAAAGGCAACCCCTTCCCACCGCTGTATCCTGCAAAAAGGGAAAATGAACTGACTCTGATTAACCAGCTGCTCAAAGGATACAGAGAGGACATGGCACAGCAGTTCACCACATAATCATCAAACATAATGAAAACCTTTCAATGTCGAAGAGCTAAGACTGCAAAGCTGATGTATACTTTCTGTACAAACTTTCATATTCATAATTATTTGTCAAAATCTGAAAATAAATACAAACTTGTACTAAAAATGTAGAGCTGATCCTCTGTCAGTCTATAAATATGGACATTTATAACACTAGTATAATGATTTGAAATGCACAACAAAACACTCAAACGTATTTACTAAAACATTTGTTTTAATTTTGGCAAAAGTGTATATATACAGAATATTCAGAATTGTCACTGAACACCATTAAAACATATTTAAACAGTGCTTATGTGATGTGCTCTTAACCAAGTCGCTCTGAGGAGCCTGAAAGCTGTGCTTGTTTTTTTCTCATGCATACATTATCTCCTCTGTTCCAAATGTCCCACTCCTGTCACTGGATGTCAGCGTACACAAAGGTGCGGCAACAGTAGTGTCAGTCTGACGTGTCACCCTTTTACTTTCTTATGTCTTTTTATGGCAAATGCAACAGGCGACAAAATGGCTCACATGCCGTATATTAACCAGACACATAACCAGAAATAACAACTAGCACTTAATTCAAGAATCATTCACAGACTAGTCATCTCAAACTACACTCTCACACGTGACACAGTACAGTCCTAACATCTCGGTACTCAAACTACATCATCGACAAATCAGCGGGCTTGCTTGCAGTTGATGTTATTATAATGCTCACCTACATCTGATCACATGCTGTGTCGAGGTCAATCATTTCGACCAATAGTGGATAAAAGCTGGTGGACGTTTCTCTTCACCTTGACACTGCAGCGTTCATCAGATGGGCAGCAAAACATGTGAAGGAAGTTTTGCTGGTATTTACAATAGTGAGTGTGGGATACTACAAGTAATGGTAATACATGTGTTAAAGCAGTCCTATAAGGCGACATCTTCACAAAGAAACAGACAAGGAACATTAAAGTGCTCCATGCAGGACAGACATAATGTACAGAAGTGTAGCGGTCTTCAACAGTCCATCTACGACTTGATACGAGGGACTACAAATAATCACTGTATTGCACATTTGAACATTCAGTAAAAAACTCAATGCTTCTGGAAATAGACAGCAGTATGGAGTTCCTATGACAGAGCGGTGGCACTTTGTCTGGTCAGCCTATGTTACAGTTCAAAAAGGGTTTCGATGTTTAACCTGTTTAACTCATAGGATCTAATATTAGTAATGAAATGGGAAATGGGCTGACAAGGCTAGTGTCACTACATTATTCTACATGTATTTTAAACCAACATCTCCCATCTTGTGCTGTATTGCATCAATACATTCACTGTCTGCAAACCACAAATTATGACCCAGGCATAATTTGAACTTAAAAAAAAAAAAAACATTTTAACATTGTCTATGGTTCATCGCAATATCGTTATCTTGTTAAAAATATATTGAAGCCGACTGCATGTGTTTACGAAATTACCATGTATGTTCACAGGACTTCCATGGGTCCCCGTTCTAGAGGACAGATACAATACAAACATGCGTGTTTTACAAGTAGCTTGTGGTGTATACAACAAAGGTGACATCCAACATAAGCGTTTACCGACAAATAACACAAAATCAACAATGCATCTTAATTAGGCCATCATAAAAAATATCTGGTAGCTTTTTTTTTTTCTCAAAACAATGAAAAAGCATTCTATATATATATATACAATAAAAGTAATGCTAAAATATGTTGATGTTCACCGCACCAACTGGAATTAAATGCAGAAAATAATGAAGCATTTATAAAAAGAAAATACAATAATAAAATATATAGTGGCAGCTGGATAAATTTTGCGCTATTTACACAGTCTCCCAGGCACACTGTCAATGCCTCATGAATATTAGAATGAGAAGTATTTCAGAATTTTGTTCCCCACTATCGTTGGACTGCCCCAGCTACATCCACTTTGTCATCTTTTGCCTCCTCCGTGCCTTTTACTGGTCAGCTTCAAATATTTATTGCTTCTTTATTCTTTAAAAAGCCCGGCGCTTCTTTCTTGCAGCAAAATCCCGACGCACTTGGGGTTGATTTCAGTTGCAGTAGCAGACAGAAACGTGTATTTCTTCTTAGTTTTCCGATGGTTTGTCTCCCTAAATCTATTTGGCTGTGTCTTTTTAAAAACGTACTGTCTTTCTACCCTTTCCCATGCGTTTCCCAGTCATGTACGCGCCTTATGCCTTGGTGCCAAAAGTGCCGCCGCCGCCGCCTTGCATGCTGAAGTACTCTGTGAAGGAGGGCAGGCGGGGGGGCAGTGGGGGGGAGGCGTGTGAGGTCGGCCGGGGTGGAATGGGGGGAGGAGGAGGGGGGAGTATTGACGTGAGGTCTGCGGCGGTGGTGATGATCTTCTGCTCGCTGTTTCGTGGCACCTCCTGTCCTTTACGCGCCACCATCTCCTCCACCGTCTTCACTGGGTCCTGGAAATACAGATTACACGCAAACTAAGATAAGATAGACTTTATTGATGTCACATTTGGCATAGATAGAAACACTCAGATTTGTGCAAAAGACAGAAGCCTGCAAACATGTTAAGGCTAAAAATATAGTCTGTTCAAGATATATTATGTACAATAACATTAAAAAAATGGCAATTAAAGAAACAGTGGCAATAGTAGTGCAGGTTTTAGTCCTAGTGCATTAGTGACTTAAAGTGACTTATTGTACGGGAGATATATCCATAGACTGTTTATAGACAGTGCAACCCGCTAGCTCAATGAAGCCCAATAGGGAAGTGCTCATTGACAAAGTTTTGCTCCTACTAGCTCTGGCTCCCATTGACTTACATTAAAAAGTAAACTCCTCGATCTCAATGACCGTTTGTGTCACACTCACCAATTTAAAAACAAATCCATAGTTTAGTGCTGTTTTTTTATATTGTGATGTTGTCTTTGTTGTGCAGATATGAGCCCTAACAACTGACCAATCAGAAGCCTTCTGTCCCCGAATTTGGCTCTAGGGAACGAGTAGAATAAATGGGGACAGACCAGCTCCCACATGGTGCTTGGTAACTCAAAATTATGAGTTTGAAAAACATTTGGATGAAGCACATGTTTATTAGCTCCAACCCCTCTCACTCTAACACAAAACTCACATTTTAAGTTGATTGAAATAGAGAAAAAAAAAAAGTAACGCATCCTTTCACCTCTAAATAAAGGGTCTAACTTCTGCCTTCACTGATGCGAATGCAATACTGTACATTCCAATGATTGATTCAAATGATCAATTATAAAATATATATATATATATGCAAACACTTTCATTTTCAGCCATATTGAAACATCTCATATTTAAAAGTGAATGTTTTACAAAGAAAGCATTTCTCCAGCGTTTGAAAAATATTGGCCCAAAAAGTATTGTTTTTTTTCCATCAGATATTGAAAGTTGATTGTAGCTAACTTAGTGCCTGTGTTTTTTCCACCTTCTTTCTGTGTGGACTTTGCATGTTCTCTCTCTGTCTGCGTAGGTTTCCTCCTATGCTCTAGTTTTCCCCCACCACTAAATCATCTAATGAGTGAGTGGACATCTGTCAACACTGTGAGTAGGAGAGAATGGAAAAAATATTGGTACTCCAAAAACATTGCAAAGTGCTATGTGTGTTCTTGGCCTATGACAGGGATGTCAGAATGAAATACATCACAGGACCAAAAAACAAATTTGCTACAAGCAGAGGGCTGGACTGGTTCAATGTTTACTAAAACCTATTAAAATGACTGCATATAACCTGTTGAACCAAGACCTAACACAGTGTACCATGTTTTATTTAATGATAAAATAAATAATCCAATATTTTTGAACGGCTCTGTCAGTAATTTCAAGTGAAAACATTTTTCAACAGGCTCACAGACTAAAACAAACTTCCTTCAAAGAGAAAACACATTTCCTGAACATTAAATGAACAATCCAATATTTTCTTACGGCTCTGTGCGGCCAGGTCTAATAACAATCAAATATCAACCCGGGGGCCAAGATAATCCTGGGCCTTGACTTAGACACCAGTGGTCTATGATACGCGCTATAAACAAAAATATGACTTACGTGAAAGTAAGTATTTCAATATAAACTAAATAAAAATAAAGAAATTGGACGACAGTGTGAATCAATAATCTAAGAAAAAACATTCCCCCTTCCCGTCACTTCTTTTTTGCTGAAATAAAAACATCCAAATGAAATGAACTAGCATTAATACTCCCAATCCTAAAATCAAATCTGATATTCATCATTCCAAATTACAAAGGCACAACATTACGCCGGGCCGTTCTACAAGACACACACCATTTCTCCTTGTCACAGAAAGCACATTACATCCCTGCTGTACCTGCATATAGCTTAAACCTGCACAATTTATTATGGTTCTGGCTGACGGGGCTCCGATTTGAAAGTTCCCTTAGTTCAATACTTCATCACAGGAAACACGGCACCTTAATTTGCCCTTGTCAAACCTGCTATAATCATTATTTCTCAATGTCGCCATGTTTTTCTGGTGTTATGGCGTGTTGAGCTTATTGTCATTCAGCCGACGGGCAGTGACTGATGGGAGGCTGTAGCGTTGAAATACTCGCTTTAAACTCATCGGCTTAGAAAACACAGCAGGCTCCGTCTTTATGTACGAGTTCTAATGGATAATTCCCCTAAGGACAAAACATTGTTACGCAGACATGACACTAATGAACTTTGTCACTCACTGATTGGATGGAGAACAGCTCGGTGAAGTTGGGCTGGGAGTCGCCGAGGAAGGAGCTGTTTCCGTAAGCGTGATGAGGGAAACTCTCCGCGCCTTCTCCAGCTTTTGGACTGGACATCAAGATTCCAATTTGTGATGTCCGGACGTGGTATGGGAAGTTCTTATTGGCTGCAGATGGACGTGTTATAACCTTAGAGACAAGGAAATGGAGACATGATGAAGACGGCTGACCCTGTACATGTCTTTCTGACTTCTTTCTGACTGTTGCACTGAGCCAAAGCAATTTCCAAGTCTGTGACTTCCTGTTACTTACGTGGCACTAAAAATGATATATTATCGAAATATTGGTCAGAAATATACCATAATTATGCAAATATATGGCATAAATAAAAGAAAAATGTTAAATGAAAAAATACACTTTATTTCATGATAAATGGAATGGAGATGCGTAATGTAGTCATATATTAAGTATTGATACTAATTGAAAAAAAAAAAACGATCGTGGGAGAAAGTATCACGATATATCGCTATATCGATATATCGTCACACTCCGTGTAGCGCATGAAGAACACATTGGCATTAGTTCACCTACCGCCGGTGCTGTTTACGTTTGTTCTCAGCTACTGAGCGTGTCTGGGGAAGTGGTGAGGTCAGAGCAGAAGAGAATTCACTACTTTTTCTTCACACATCTGTGAAACCGCTGCAGTATCTGTTCTGTTCCACTCTAGAGGCTGTTTCTTAACACTTCTTAACGTCTTCAAGTAAACTAAAGCCCAATCCGATACCAACTCTTAACATTTTACTGTTGCAGCGACCTCGTGTTAACAGAACCTTACGGCCCATTTTCTGACACGATTATTTGGGATTTTTACAGAAGGCAACAGACTTTTGAACAATATTCTAATTTTCCAAGTTTCACCTGTACTTTATAGACATGTAATTATGTGTTAACTGGCGGTAGCCGAGTGGGTGTGGCCCATGTTTTACAGCAAGACAGTTGTGGATCCCGTGTCGGCCTGGACTCTTCTCTGCGTAGTTTGTATGTTTCTCTTGGTCTCTTTTGTGTCTGGGTGGGTTTCCTGTGGGTGCTGTGTTTTTTGTTTTGTTTTTTGCATTAAAATGAAACATATATTTTTGTAATATGACTTCATACTTTGACATACTTTCAGTAGTAATCAAAACATTGTCTGGACAAATATATGAGCCGTCTGAAGTACCACTTCGCCTTTTTTTATCTCAAGCAATCTAACTATGATAGTGAATGGTACAAGGAAACAAGAAATATGTGGAGGCAGCTTCTACAGCTTTATATTTAGTGGTTCACCAAGAAGGATTTAAAGCCTCGACTGATAACTGAATATAAAAGAGTTTGCACAGACAGAAATGGCCATTAGGAAAGAACAGTGTGTCGGAGGTGAGCAAGAGCCAGATAATGATGTGAAGAGGTGACAATCAGCACGGCGGCGTTAAAGCTCAAGGATGGTGAATAATAAATGACTGGCAGGTGAATTAATGGCTCTTGAATAACACTAACACGGTGGGTGTAATTTATATATGTGAAATGTGTGTGTGGGGTACAAACAAGGAAGACGATGTGCGCGTAGAGGTGGATGCCCAGCTGAATGCCGTTGACGATCTTCTCTCTGGCCCACCGCGGGATGCCGAAGTTAGCAATCAGCGCCATCACCGGCACCGCGAAGAACCTACGGAGAGGAAGACATGGGTTTAGAGCCGGTCTGCAGAAATTACAGGCTTTATCACGTTTCTATATGCGGCCTGCAGATCCTTTTGTTTTTGTTTAAATGAATAGGAGTCAATTCTTAATGACTGCTGGCAACAGAATGTGTGTGACCATGGCATGTTAAACCTCATTTTAAAGCTGCTTCTCTCAGGGAAACAACCAACACATGATTTTTTTTGTAGCTCTGAGAAGTTCAATGAAATATATTTCTGTAAAACCCATATTCACAACACCAGCCGTCTTCAACAACTTTAACCCTAACCCTGTTGGCTAATTGACAAGTTTGTAGAGAATCAACAAATTAGAACACAGGAAGTGCAACAATACGAATAATATGAAACAAAACAGAGCCATTGGTCCAAAGTTTCCAATGAACCAATAGCGTTGCAACGAAAATGCAGCAGTGAAAAATAATACATAGATACTAGAAACATAATATTTTTTTTTGGGGTAATTTTAATGCCTGGCACCTTTTCAAGTGTGACAAACATTTTATTTTCAGGTACATTTAAGGCATTGCTGGGGGCCTCTGGTGGAATTAGGGCCTTGGCAAACGTCTGATTAATCGCATTCCTGATCATTTTGAGGAGCCCTTCAGAAAATTTGATTATTCATCTCAAAGGGCTATTCCTCCCAATAAATGTTAAAAGATAATTCATACATCATTTATCAACAAATTAATCCGTCTACTAAATCCACTCTTCTTCTGGTCCAGTTTTGTTCAATCTATCAGACATAACAAGGTACTCCAGCTTTAAATTACATGTACAACTGCGTGAAAAACCGGTCCAGCCCTCCATAAGAAGCCAATTGTGGCCCTGCGGAAAAGAATCGGCCACCCCTGGTTTCGAAGAAGCTTAGAATCAGAGCAGGCGGTGGAGCAGTGAAGCGTATATAAAACCGCGGTAAAACAAAGAAAGATTAAACTAGTCTTGCACTCGTAGTAGCACTTCTCTCACTAGCCTTTGTACTGTTGCTCTATGTTTGCTTTTATGCGCTATTAATCAAAGCAAGTGCGTTGAAGTGCAAAACCAATTGTTCTTAGCCTGAAAAAAATGATACAAAATAGATATAAATTATTCTATTAGAAGAGAGCTGAATTGTAGCACGAACATAAATCTGTTATTTTAAGTGCAGATATGAAGTAGGTGTTGTGTTAAAAGGCAGGAGCACTTTGTCAGAGGAGAATAAACTGCTTAAGACCATTAATGCATCAGTATATTTCACGCAGCTCTATAAATGATGCAGAATGGCTCCTTATGCATACATATTGGTATTAATATGAAGGGGCGTTACCATAGTGTGTAGGTGGTGAAGAAGGGCACGTAGAAGGGCTGTTTCTCGGGGTAGTGCTTGAGCGAGACCAGGACGGCGTAGCAGAACCAGACGTAGGCCAGCAGCTGCAGCCCCATCAGGCCGTATCCTGCCGGGCTGTCGTAGGCGTACAGCACCTCTCCTGGGTCGAAGAACTGGGACACACAAAGCAAACTCTGGTGAGGCCCAGAAAAAGGTACAGGGCCAATTTACAGAAAAGGATGGAACAGGTGGAATAGATTCACAAGGGAAATGTTTAGCTTTGATTTGACATGTATGGAAACAACATATATTACAGAGTAGAGAGAGTTTGGTAGATTGGGATTATTGACACCTGGAATAAAATCGAAAAGACACAGATAATGTGCAGTTTTTGCCACAATCACTCGTAGTCTTTCACTGTGATTGGCTTAAAATCTCTGTACAATAAAAGAGGTTTTGTTATTTTGTTCAGTTTTTAATTAAAATATTGAAAAAAATCGGTCTATATGGGGGAAAAATGTTCCAGCATTTTAGCATAAGTGAAAAAAAATAATGTAGTGCTAGTTGAGAGTTCTAGATCAACTACTCACAACTATTACTACAGTCTTGTGCATATTCGGGACTTTTGCGGATGTATTCCAATGTGGTTTTACTGCAAAAGGCAAACAAATGAATCTGAATCCAATTATGTGTAGCCTTTCAACTCCAAATCCTCAGCACCTCTTAGCATCATTTGCTTGATTAGCTTGTTTACGCAGTTGAGCGAGCCTGTGGTCTACAGCGTGCGTGTTTGACATTGAAACTTGTCCACATTTAGGTCGCAGCCGAGCGTGCGTCTGTGTGTTTCCATCGGTGGACACCAGAGACCGGCGACTGGACCGCGCCCGCCATACTGGGTTACCCCTTTGTGCATAATGCATAGAGCGGGCCTAACACGCAAAACTTCTTAAGATCCAGCCAACCACGGGCAGCTCTCAGCCATCTGCACATCCAGGACATGCCTTCCTTTCAAATACTAACCCACTTTGGCTTATTTTTAGTGCACCTCCCCGGAGTTGTTCGCTTTTTAATAGAGAGGACCATGTGTCGGGGCAGCGGGAGGATAGATTACACCTCTTCACATGCGAATATTGTGTGGAGAGAGACAGCTATAGGCCCTGCTGTTAAACATAGTGCTGATTCGTCTGAAGTATTCCCCAGAGGTCATTACCATCCTGTATTCAAAGTCTCTAAACCGTTGGCCCTAGAAACATTTCATCACAACTCACTGAATATGCATCGACGTATAGATAGGGTATGTGATTTATTCATGAGCTTTGAGTCCGTGGCGCAGTGCAACAAGGGAAGGTATATGTAACAACAGCCTCTCCAAGAATTTCAAACATTACCATCGTTAATTACATCCGAGGCATTTAACCACGCGTTGTTTGTTTGTGGAATGCATAATAATAATTAAAATCGTCAAGTACTTTACTTTGTGTGATCACATCCAAATCTGCTCATGAGTCATGGTTTGAGTGTAATAAGTGATTTGACAGTGAAAGCATTACAGCCCACGCCGATCTGTGGGTTTCCGCCTTTATAAATATTCATTGGATTATTTTAGAAAGTCGCAAAGCAGCAGAAAGACTAAATACTGACATTTGCCAGAACTTTTTTAATACTTGAATGTTATGTTGTTGGCATGTTTTCGTTTGTAACAAGAAAGAAGGCACAACAACTTTGGCAGCACAGTGGCTGAGTGGATAGCACTCTCGCTTCTCAGCAAGGAGGTCCTGGGTTTGAATCCCGGTCGGAAGAGGGCCTTTCTGAGTGGAGTTTGCCCAAGCCCCGGTGATCCAAGATGGCGCCCTATTCAAATTAATAGTTTGTGCTCAGTGGCGCATTGTGACGGCATGGGGGCTGAAAGATTAGCGGAAGTCGCCTGGAACTCGCAAAGATCTATGGGAAACTCGCAAAGATCTATGGGAAACTCGCCTGTATTTGGGCATCGTCTGGTCCTCCCGGTTCTGCGCAGTGGATGATCTCCCATAATGCGTTGCGCCAAACACGCGTGTGTGGGTCTCACACCGGGTCTCATGCACGTGCACAGAGGGGCTCGGCCGCGCTCTGACCAATCAGAGCAGTTCATCAGAGCGGGAGTTAGAGCGAGAGCCAGACGAGCAGAGTTTGTGGCACTAAAGTGTGGATTTAAAGAAAACCGAAGGACTTAAGAGGAAAATAAGTTCAGGATGACAAGGGACACTAAAATACCCACAAAATCTGACCTTTATGAAATCTGTAGGTTCTCTGTCAGCTGAGGTTGAGCTGTTTTAATATGCATTGAGTTCTATGGGGAAAATTTCTGGGTAGCCCACGTGAGTTTAGTCTGGTTCAGTCTGCAGTACCGCGAGAATCCCCCGAGCACATGAGTTATTCAGCTACAAGCTAGTAATACCCTATCCAGTTATTATAATAGATCCATGAGTTTGCCTGTTCTCCCCGTGTCTGTCTGAGTAGGTTTCCTCCGGGAACTCCGGTTTCCCCTACCACTAAAAACATGTACAATAGTTCTGGCATGTGCCTCCTGTACTGGCGACCCCGCTCCCATCTCTGTGTGGAGTGAGAGACAAATGCCCAAAATTAGCAATTGTAAACCGCTTTGTGACTCTGGTCTGTGAAAGGCGGTATATAAATAAAACTTACTTAGATTTTAATAATCAGAAGATATTTTATGTTTTTCATGTCTCTCCATTGCTAGAACATAACGGTTTTATAAATTAGTCAAGTTTCCTACAGCGGCCCTGTTTATTTTCTGTAACGGACATGATCCTTTGACGGAATGAGCTACGCGGACTTTTGTTATTTTTTTATGTCCACATTTGATTAAGAGATTCTATTTTGTTACACAGAGTAGAAACAAAGTGATACTTTTATGTTGTAAACCAATTAACTGTGAAACAAGACCTTTTTTTTCTCAAGTTAAATTATTTTGAGAAAAATGGACGGAAACCCTCACGTCCGTTAAAAAATTTTCTAAGGTCAATTAAAAAGGTTTATTTTTTTTCATGCCACTTTTTCAAACTGATGACATTAATTTTCTATGTCACTGATGTCACTGTAGAATGGTCAAATCAGAGGCTGGTTTGGTTGTTTATAATGTCGGCCAAAATATATTTGTCAGTATTTCCTTTTGATTAGAACCACACTATCTCTCTAATCTGTCTGTTTTAAATTTTTTTTTTTTCAATCTATAATAGTAATTTTAGTTTTTGAGTTAATATCTTTTGAAGTCCAGATACTTTGACACTTTACTGTGAACGCACTCACTTTAGACAACAGCACTAGTGATGCTGCTGGATCTACAAATCCGACTTTAAATTATGATCTATCAGATGAATAAGTCTTATATAATCTCTGCTCGTGTTGAACCATGGAAAAGGCAGAGGAAAAGTTAGAGCAATAGGTAGATATTAGAATACTTCTCATGATATTGGGATGGGTTATGGAGCTTTCGCGAAAGTTCACCGTGGTAGACCCGGCTGTTGCTGCCAGGCCACAGGCTGCTCTTCCTCGACTCATCAATACCAGCAACGCCCACACCCAGTCAACCAATAACCACCAGGACAGCAAGTTAAAAGCCGGAGACGCCCACTTCCCGATCTTCTGAAGTCTGCAAGCTTCTGAAGCCTGCAAGGTGCATGTCGCTAACGCACCTGTTCGCAAATGCATGCGTTGTTCTGGAGGGGTCGCTTCTGCTCACGTGTTGCTCGTGCGCGTGGCCCGGCTGTCCTCAGTCTGGCTGCTCGTGGTCTGCTCCTCTTCCGTGTCCCTGCACCTGCTGTGGTTCGCGTGTCTCCACTGCTCTCCTCCTCTGCGGGCTCTTTCTGCGGGCTGCTCCGCGGGGCCCCTCCGCGGTTCTGTGCTGCTCGTTCCTCGTGGTCTGCTGCCGTGCATGTCCCTGCCTCCGACTGGCGGTGCCGCGTTGTCCCGTTGCTTTCCCAAGTCTCCTGGCATGTGAGTACAGTGAGAGTGCCGACCGCGGACAGTTTAATCCCGGAGTCTAGGCTGCAGGTGGCTGGTTTTTTGCCCTACGCACTTGACTGCAGGCGTCAGTCTTCGCCCGTGCTTGGTCTGCAGGCTCCGTTTTACACGTGTTGAGCTAACTGAGGGACAATGCATCTTAAATGGCATCAATCTCCAATGTCTGAGGGATATAAGAGGAGCAATGTGCATTAATTCAGATTCATGTTCTGCCACTTGCAGTAAAACCACGTTGGAAAAAATGTGCAAAGACAACCCCATCGTGCTCCAGACGGCACACACAGAGCTCTTGCACGGCGCCATCTTTACAGCATCAATCTCATTACTCGCAAGTCACTATTGTTAAATGATGTATTTAAATTCGTCTATCTGCAGGAGGAAGGAGGGGCCATGCATTTAAATAGCTAGGTCACTAGTATTAAACTGGGTAACTAAACTGCAGTTGTTGCATTTCGAAAGTGCAGCAGAAAGAAAAGGGGCCCAATGTGAATATGCAATGGGTTTGAAGTGGAGCTGGAGCTAATGAACGCATGGATCAGTGATCGTTCATGCGTATCTGCCATAACCAAAGCAGCAAGTTGGCTCCAGGGGACATCTGTTTCTCGCATGGGAATGTTTCGGATTCGGGTTGATTTATTTCCTCAGGCTCTTAAACAACCGTGGGCATGGTTCTCTGACCGCCGCTGCTGCGGTCCCTGCTGCCGTTCCTACTGATGCCTGATCCCGCTGCTGCCTATTCCTGCTGCTGCCTGTCCCTGCTGCCTGCTCCTGCTGCTCCTACTGCTCCTACTACTACATGTGCCGCTGCTGCTGTTCCTGCCGCTGCCGCTCCGCAGGCTCCCAGGCTGCACCTATCTCTACGGCTCGGCTCTTCAGACACGTACGTAACCTGGCTCACGGAGACAAGCGGCGCACGCTGGCGTGACACGTCTGTTGTTCGTATGAATTGCATTGTGCTGCTGCTGCTTGCTGCTTCTGCTGCCGCTACTGCTGCTATTGCTGCCGCTGCTGCTTCATACTGCATTGCTGCCGTGCTGCTGCTGCTTCTTTACTTTGACACCTCTCTTCACTGCGCATCTCTTTTACTGAAACACTAAACAGCTTCAACTCTATTCTACTGCGGTGGCTTGATACAGGATTATTGCTGTTATTATCTACGGATGCTGCAACCGCTGCTGCTGCTGCTGCTTCATGCTGCTACCGTTACTGCTGCTACTGCTGCCGCTGCTGCTTCATACTGCATCTGCTGCCGTGCTGCTGCTGCTTCATGTACTTGACATCTCTCTTCACTTCGCATCTCTTTTACTGAAACACTAAACAGCTACAACAATATTCTACTGCTCTGGCTTTGATACAGGATTATGGCTGTTATTATCTACGGATGCTGCAACCGCTGCTGCTTCATACTGCTACTGCTGCTACTGCTAATGCTGCTTCTGCTGCTTCATACTGCTACCGTTACTGCTGCTGCTACTGCTGCGCTGCTGCTGCTGCTGCTTCATGTACTTTGACATCCCTCTTCACTTCGCATCTTTTTTACTGAAACACTAAACGGCTACAACAATATTCTACTGCTCTGGCTTTGATACAGGATTATTGCTGCTATTATCGACGGATGCTGCAGCTGCTGCTGCTTCATACTGCTACTGCTGCTGCTGCTTCATACGGCTACTGCTGCTACTACTGCTGCTGCTGCTTCATTTACTTTGCCATCTCTCTTCACTTCGCATCTCTTTTACTGAAACCCTGAACAGCTACAACAACATTCTACTGCTGTGGCTTTGATACAGAATTATTACTGTTATTTTCTAAGGACGCTGCTGCTGCTACTGCTGCTGCCGCGGCTTGATACAGGACTATTGCTGTTATTATCTGAGGCTACTGCTGCTGCCGCTGCTGCTACTGCTGCTGCCGCGGCTTGATACAGGACTTTTGCTGTTATTATCTGAGGCTACTGCTGCTGCCGCTGCTGCTACTGCTACTGCAACCCATTCTCTCAGAAGCTTATCCTGCTTCTAATGGATGCAGCCCGGCTGAGTATGCCGCGCTGCGCCGGACTCGCACCTATGCTCCCAGGGTCGCTTCGGCGGTCGTGCTTCATCTCTCTACTGAATCTTCTGATTCTATCAGATGCAGCTGGCCAAGTAGCTGCGCTGAGCCGTCAATCGGACTCCTAATCAAAGGCATCCATACCTGGTTCTTCACTCTTCTGATCACAGGCTCCCCATCATGCTGCCCATCCTGCAGCGGCGCTGAACTCCGGCTCATCTCCCAAGTACATGTCCGCCCTCCTCGCAGCATCTTCTGCTCGCCTTCTGTGGCTTCTCTGCATAAGCGTTTCACCACTGCTCACTCAACCTTCAATGCGGTCCGAGACACGGCTTCCCGTCCTATCCTACTGGCCTAATTATCTACTCTCCAACCCAAGATTCTAAGCGTAAAGGCGCCTGCAACATCAATGGCCCTCTCCGGTGTGTCTCTCTGCCCCTACAGGTCTCCGCTTCTACACGGACGCTGCCCCTTCCGTGGGTTTTTGGGGGATTCTTCCAGGACCAGTGGTTCGCCGGCCGTGGCCCGCTACTTTCCCCGGAGCATTTCCTCTGCCCTACACGAGACATTCCCAGTGGTCGTGGCCTGCGCGCTGCGGAATCACACGTGGCAGAGAAAGAGGATCTCTGTCATGCGTGATCATCTCGACGTAGTGGAAGCATTAAACAAAGGTCGCTCTTCTCACCCAACATAATGTCCCCTGACCATTCAACCTTCATCTCAAACATTCAAAGATCAGAGGCGCCTGCAACACAATAATAGCTCGCTTCGACACATCTCTCTGCCCCTACAGGTCCATGATGCGTTACACTCGCCTCCGCGGCAAAAAGGAGATTTTAACGGACCTCTAATTCTCACTCCAGTCAACCTTCCCATAACAGCAACCTGGTTCAGAGCTCAGCTAAGATCCCTACTGCTCCTCTGCAATTTGTCTCCCCAGCTCTATACAGCCCACTCCTTCAGGATAGGCGCTGCCACGCGCACGACCTCGCCGGGGCTCCCCCACTCTTCCTCTGCAACGGCTGGGGCGCTGGTCCTCTTCGGCTTCTCCACCTACATCCGGCCAGATGCGACCGCTATCATGGCAGCACAACGTCTACCGGCTTCATCGTAAGCTCCCAGCAAAGCAAGTAAGCAATAAGATTCTGGTGGCGGCACGCACTTTCCTCAAACGCTCAAAGATTCCTTGCTTCAGCGTCTGGCTGAATATGAGCGTGCGCTCATATTCTCAGTTCGCTCAAAGATTCCTCTGCTGCGGCTGGCTGAACATGCGCGTGCGCGCATGTTCTCAGTTCGCTCAAAGATTCCTCTGCTGCGGCTGGCTGAGCATGCGCGTGCGCGCATGCTCTCAGTTCGCTCAAAGATTCCTCTGCTGCGGCTGGCTGAACATGCGCGTGCGCGCATGTTCTCAGTTCGTTCAAAGATTCCTCTGCTGCGGCTGGCTGAGCATGCGCGTGCGCGCATGCTCTCAGTTCGCTCAAAGATTCCTCTGCTGCGGCTGGCTGAACATGCGCGTGCGCGCATGTTCTCAGTTCGCTCAAAGATTCCTCTGCTGCGGCTGGCTGAGCATGCGCGTGCGCGCATGTTCTCAGTTCGCTCAAAGATTCCTCTGCTACAGCGGCTGGCTGAACATGCGCGCGTGCGCATGTTCTCAGCTCGCTCTTGCTCTCAGGCCCGCGCAGTACGTCCTGCTATCCCAATCGCAGGCCCGCTTTTTGGGGATCATGCACGCGAGCAAGCGCCGTGCTCAACAGCATCCCGCCCGGGCCTAGGGCGCCAAACATGCTCAATCAATAAACATGCTTAAATCTAATAAGTCTAATGCGTTTCCTCATGGGTCTCTCCAAGGTGAAATGGAGCTTTCGCGAAAGTTCACCGTGGTAGACCCGGCTGTTGCTGCCAGGCCACAGGCTGCTCTTCCTCGACTCATCAATACCAGCAACGCCCACACCCAGTCAACCAATAACCACCAGGACAGCAAGTTAAAAGCCGGAGACGCCCACTTCCCGATCTTCTGAAGTCTGCAAGCCGCCGCCGCCCCACCTCCTCCTTCTCGCATGAAGCGTGTTGCCTACTGCCTCTGCCGTCACCAGTGCCTAGGCCCCGGGGGGATCATGCACGCGAGCAAGCGCCGTGCTCAACAGCATCCCGCCCGGGCCTAGGGCGCCAAACATGCTCAATCAATAAACATGCTTAAATCTAATAAGTCTAATGCGTTTCCTCATGGGTCTCTCCAAGGTGAAATGAGAGTAATAAGGTTGGGTCATGAAGTGAAAGACGGCATGTCGTCCTTGATTAAATTTATTCAGAAGTCTGGATAAAAATAGATGACAAGCCTTAATTATGAAAACATTACTTTTTTTGTAAGGCGAATCTATGCCCCCTCCATCTACCACACGTTTTTAGAGCACCCTATTACTTATGAGATATAAGAAAATTCAAATTGTGATTTTCAGATTAAATTGTTATAACAAATTGATTTCTGTTCTGATAATTGAGATTGGATGGAAAATTGAAATATGAAAAACGATTAATCAAATTATATTTAGTTTTATTTGAAGACCGCTTTCACCGTAACAATGAAATGATGGGGCACTTATTTTTAATGTGAACAAAAATCTGCTGTAGTTAACACTCCTAGTTAAATTGGACTTGTTCTTAGTCTTCCATGACACTAATTCCCAATTCTCCTTCGATTATAACTAGATTAAGAGATCCTAGAATTGTAACAGAACAGTAGGAATGAGGAGCACATAAAACACAAAATAAGTTATTTATAAATATAGCAAAACTCAATACAATTATATATAAAATAGAATCTTCATCTTTAGCTTAATAAAAAGTATAAAAAAGAATAAACATGTATATGTCATAGGATTGCAACTAATGATTATTTGAATGATCAATTAATCTAGAGGTTTTTTCTTCAATTAATCGATTAATTGATTAAAACCCGGATGTGATTTTCATTTTAAGTTGACGCAAAGTGAAGCCGCTGTGGGATTTCATTAGTTTAGAATATAGATAATACTTCCAGACCAAACTATTTTATCATTAAATTGAGATATTGATGTCTTTTTTAAGTTTTATATTGTTGTATTCATGGCTCAGAGTCTTATAATCACATCTCACAGAACTTTCAAGTGTTTGAGTCTGTGTAAAGAGCAGTTTCAAGCCAATCCACTTCATTAATAAAGCCCATTTCATAAACAGCTTCCAAAGTGCTGCCCAGAAAAATAAAAAAGCCATAGTAATAAAAAAGGAAAATCATAGAAATTGCCATCCAAGTCTGCAGCGACAAGTCAAATTAAAACCATCGCAAAAAGAAATATGAAAAACATACAAATCTATAAGCAACATGAATACAAAAAGAAAACTATAGAGTCATAATATATGTTATCAATCAAAGGTCAGAGGACGACAAAAGCCAAGAGAATAAAAGCCAGAGAATAAAAGCCAAGAGAATAAAAGCCAGAGAATAAAAGCGGGTCAAGACTTAAAACATACAGTTAACGGACAATCACTTTCCAGTAGTTGTCGATTATTGAAATAAAATGGATTAGTAGTGATTTATCGATCATTACAGCAGACTGGGGCGAGAGTGGCTCAGTTGGTAGAGCGTTGGCCTTAGCCTGAAGGTCTGCTGTTGTTGTGTCCTTGGGCAAGACACTTAACCCCACTTTGCCTGAAGCCCCTGCTGGAATATCAAAAGCTCCTGTGGACTCAGCACCTGCAGGAGGATCAGTGAGGGACTGGTGCTCTGTGTACTGGGTGCAGCTCTCACTGCCATCCCACCCGACCCAGAAATGGATTAAGGGGTAGAAAATGGATGGATGTGAATGATTTCAAGGACAGCAAAGAGTGTAAAGAACAGTTACCTCTGATTCATAAATGAACAGGACGACGTAAGTGATGGTATAAACCGTCATGTAGATACTCAGCTTGACCGAGCCGCTGTGGCTGATCCGAGCCCTGGAAGAACAAACACACAGAAGAAGAAAGGCCACACACATTAAAACTGAAACCATTCATTTTCATAAAGCTTTAAAAAGCAGAGTCTGTTGTAGTCCCCTCCGTGCCATAAAATTATAATACACTTTAGGACAAGCTCGACTGCACTCTTCAAGTGGAACAAAATGAGAATGAATGGCTGTACTTTCACACAGCACTTGTCACGGGGCTCTCAGTGTTAAGCCTTCATCTGAAATTCCTTCATCTTCTGCTCCTGACTAATTCAGCAACACACACGCAAAGCAACTTATCAAAGTCTTTGGTTTTATTTATCACGAAAGTGTAAACTTATCACTTTGTGGGCCACGGCGGTGATTTGTGCTGCGATGAAATGCAGTTTGAAGATGAATCGATGGGGCGTTGGAGATCAGAGTTTCCCGAGCCCAGAGGAGGCTGTAATCCTGCTTACAAAACGCCTTAGATCCTCCAAGGTTTTTTTTTTTTTTGCTTGAAAGTTTAGCGGCAAAAACATTCACTCAGAGTTAATAGTAGAAGTAGGTCCAGAGCTTATTTTATGAATGTGTGCGGCTCATACTTGATGAACGGCTAAATAGTCCTTGGAGCAGGGTACTTAATTATTCTTTAATGCCACCATTTGTTAAGCTCAAAACGGTTACTTTTCTTTGCAAAACAATAGTTGAGTTGGAACAAAACTTTGTCCAAGAGTACTTCCTTATGGGCTTCATTAAGCTAGGGTTAGTTTATGGGTGTGAGTCTACAAGTTGTTCTTCTTCCCACTCCATTTCGAGCTGATAATACAAAAATAAAGTAAATATATTTTGTAAATACATTGACAAATGGAAAATCCTGTTCATGTTCATGTGTGTGTATGTGTATATTATATGTATATACATGTATGAATGTAACTTTTTATACTTGAATTATTGAATGAATCAATGATCTGTGAGGGTTTTAATCTATTCATTATTTTTTGTTTGATTGGTTGGTTTTTGGTTAATGTTTGAGAAGCAGAAATCTTTTAATTGAGAAATAGACTTGAATCATGTAATCAATTCGTTTCATTGTATTTTTGTAAAGCCCTAAATCACAACAGCAGTCATCTCGGAGGAATTTAAACAATTGTCGGCAACAACACATAAGAGAATGAAGATAAAGATCGAATCATGTTCAGTCAAAGTTAAAGCCAATCAGCCAAAAAATGTGAACATTTCTGTTTCCGGCACAAACTTAACTACATCAACTTCAACGCAATATTTTTTCACACATTAAAATCACTGTAATTGGTTACAATTTAAATAAATGAGGCATATTGTGCAAAATCCATTACACCATCCAATAATAATTGTTCTATTTCCTCATTTACACACAGTTTTAAAGTGGGTGCAAGTTCACAACGAGTGACAGGAGGTAATAAAGTGTTCATGAGTCCAGAGGCACAGCAAAAAAATCAATTCAACTAATTGAGCAGCGGATTCCAAAGAAACCTTGACCTTGAAACTGTTGTGTTTTAATACTGGTTATAGCCTTTGTTTTCCCTCTGTTTCTGCACAGGGATTTCATCACAATCGGGGAAACAGGATCTGCAGCTTCACCGCAGTCTAATGACAACAAACAACAACATCTTCCATCATGACATTTACATCTGACATAAACTAATGTTGTTCTTTGGTTGTTTTAAATTGTGTTGCTGAATTTACCAATACCCAAAGTTATCCAACGTATGTCAGAATGGTCACCTAACTTCGCGGTCTAACATTGTGGTTAACGTCTGTGCTCATACTATAGAACACCTGCACTTTTTTGTTACAGATTTGTACTGGAAAAAAATGTCTATACAGATCTACAATTAGTTAGATTCAGTGAGACGTACCATCACAGGGCAGGGGCTGGTTTCAACACCTGTTTTTTTTTTTCTTTTATGAAGTTTTTTAGATCAATATTACAGTAAAATATTAAAGGCAAAATTATGATCTACATATTGAAGCAATAAAGCACAATATATTCTATCTTTTCATCAATAATATTAGTTTGTGCCAACAGAATTTTTTTTTTTTCCAAATCAGACCACATGGTTTATCTTTATCTCATTAGAAAGAAAGTTATATTTTGCATACTTTTTTCACTTTCCAGTCTGAAAATCTAAAAATGTGTCAGAGGCCAAAAACACAGGTATGTAAAGAGTAATGATAGAAACAGACTTATGTGGTTTGAAAGTTATGTACCCTAGCTTTAAGGCCTCATTATGTGAAAGTAGAATTTGTGCCAAGCATTTACATAAAAGTGAGTTCAGACCAAAGCCTTTGCAGGGGTCCAGTCAGGAGGAGGACAAGCACTCGCTGATGATCCAAACCCAGACAGCTTTCATGAATCAATCGACGGCCCACGCTGAAAACTATACCATGCCAAAAAGCAGGATCAGAGAGAACGTGAGATACGTTCAGGTAAGTTGGTTTTGATCTATAGTAACTGTATATCTTTATTGTTTTTTCTTTGTGTTTACATTTTAGAGTTACACCTGCTCTTGGGAATATAACGTTTATTAAAAAGAATAGCTAGTATAAATGTACAGTACTTACAGCTACTTTTTTCAAGTTCTTCTAACTCCTGTATAGCAACATACTCTGATTTTGATAGAGCACTGGAAGGGATTTGAACACGAGTCTATCTACAGCTGTTGATCTCCAGAGCTGATAATGAACATATTCCTGCACCATTGTGGTTATGTGAACATTGGACATGGATTTATGTGATTAGGGCTATAGAGCCTATTCCGGCCATTTTACTGTAATTACCACAATTACCATGATTGCTGTCTTCCAATTTTTACAAAGGCCCTGTAAATGTAAATGTACACTTTGCCCGTAGGGAAATTCAGGGGTCGCCGTAGTACAGCAGCCGGGAACCGACCTCCAGATGTTGGTCAGGACCAGAGCTCACCGGAAGATTTGACCTATTGTGCATATTTTTAGTGGTTGGGGAAACGGAAGGAAACCTTTGGAGACACGGGGAGAACATGCAAACTCAACTCAGAAAGAACCTGTTACGACCAGGATTCGAACCCAGGACCTTCTTTACTTCAAAAGAAAAATCAAAAAATCAAACAGTTTTGAAAGCGAGGATCTATTGAAAGAATTTTAAGTGGTGTAAAAGTTAGGTCCCCAAGCTTTAAACATTTTGTTAAAACTCTTCTTTGTCTTAGGTCATTCTTTGCACCATGTTTCATCTTCAAAATATACTTAATAGCTTTGTAAAAATTTGCCATTGCAAGGAACACCTTATAACTCTGAGAGAAACACACTGACCAATACAGACACGTATCAAAACCAGAAATACCTTGAAACACAATCATCCAAACATTGCACAACAGAGCGCACGGAAGATGTTTTTGCGATGTTTTTTTTTTTTTTCACGCCAGCCTCCCAGCCGTCGTAGCTGTCTCAAAAACAGCGTGATTCTGCCTATCGCAGATCAAGTGAACGGGCTCGTGGCTGCGTGTGCTCAGGGTGACGTTCGGATTGACAGCCAACATTGTCATATGGTGAGATAGTGTTACAGAGATGACAGCGCTGGACTGACTGCAGAGCCCAGAGTAAAACACACCCACGCCACATGACAGCCACCCGCCAAGCCCACAGCCACGATGCACACGTCAAAACACCAGGACCAAAATAGCGGTGTGAGACAAAATCAGAAAAAAATGAAGTAAGAAACACCACTGCCATTCCTGAGTGGTCTAATATTTTTTGGTTACGTTTATATTTATTTTGACAACTGGGAACTGAGGAGTAATTTGGGAGATGTCAAGTTGTCAAGTTAATCTTCCGTGTCTCCGAGTGGCCCTTTCCTCTACAAACTGTGCACTTGCTGTCAAAAGTCTATCTGGCTGCATAATAATGTTTTGGCCGTCGTACTTGTGTTCGCTCCCAGTGATAAGCTCGGGCCATTTTCTCGTCAAATTTACATTTCAGTGTGAGAGATAAGCACGTTGAGATGGACCCTCTACTGCAGGGGTCTCCAACCTCTAGCTCGGGAGCCACCATTAGCTCGCCAGCCCCTTACGGAGCTCGCCAAAGAGTTAGAATTTAACAAATACACTTTTTGAGCCATTGCATATCTATTATAAGTATAAATATAGGGTTATACAGTATTATGGTGTATTTTATATTTGTTCTCCATGTTTTGTTGTAAATATTCTCACAATGTAGCACATAAACTGTCAAGTGACTGTGTGAAATTGTGAATAAAATGAAACTGAAACCGGCCTTTTTCAATATTTTTAAATCATAAATAACAAATGGATGGAAAGGCCGTTGAAATAGAGAAGTGTACGTTTTGTTCAATGTAAAGCCTCATGATCCTTCCTACAGAAACTCGATGTGTATGGTGTTACCGATTCACAATTAAAATTCTATTACACGCAATTTATTTTTGTATATGCCCTAAATCACAACAGTAGTTATCTCAAAGGAATTTACAAAGTTCTCAATCTGGATCATCACCACTGGCCTCAGACCCTCCTGCACTGGCAAGGAACAACTCAACAACTCAACAAACCCAGTGGGAAGAAAGTTGTTTGTTTATTGGGCGTGATGCTAAATAGTTTTTTGGGATCAATTTTAGGGATCAAACAATACTGTTGTAACAATCTTTAATTTGGCCCAGTCTTGCTTCTGCTTTGAGTGCAGAAATGTAAAGAGAAAAACTGACTTCTTGATTTCCAGTACAATGGTTCTAATAGTAAATTATATTACGTCTTGCAATCAAGAAGTCAAGAAACAAAACCACAAGTTGTGTAACATCTGGAAAAGTGCTCTTCAATCATTCAGAAATATTGATTCAACACTTAGTGGCACTTTTAGTTGACTGTTATTTTTGACTTGTATTGGAGTAATATTTGATCAGGTCCTTCTGTACTTTCACTGATGAAAAAAGCATTACTACTACTACTGCTACTACTACTGCTACTACTACTACTACTGCTACTGCCATGCACTCTTGTACAGGTCATACTCGGAAAATTAGTATTATAGAGTATTATAACTTGATACCTCTGTAATTCAACAAACAATGTGAAACTAATACATGACAGAATTATTACACCCAGTGAGAACGATTAAGCCTTTATTATTTATAATCTTGATAATTGGCTCACAGCTTGTCAAAACCAGTCTATTTTTTAAATTTGAATATTTTGCAAAGTGACTGTTAGTCTTAATCATTGAAATATAACAAAGGCTTGACAGCTCTCACTTTGCATGTGATAAGTTTATATCATTTATTGATTTAAAATTTTAAGTTGAATTAGAGACATAAATGAAGTTTTCTTCTGCGGCCGCTGCGTGGCCTTGGTCCTCGTTCTGTAGCTTATGTCCTGGATCTACAGCCCGTTCGTCCGTGTGGAGCGGATCCCTCTCTCAATGTGGACTTCACCGAGGTTTCTCACTTTTTTCCACTGGGTTTTAGAGTTTTTCCTCTGATGCAGGAGTCTGTTGGACAGTTAGTGTCCAACGAAAAGGACGGGACACTTGTACAACACTACATCTTGTATCTTGTGTACTACAACATGTATGACATTTATCAATGTGTTCTATATTCTTTCTGAACTGTTGATTCTCTGATCTGTGTTGGTGATTTCAATGCTTTTGTTAACTGTTTTGTTACTGTTGTGTGTTAGGGCTATACAAAAAATGGTGTACTTTTGGAGAATATTCTAATTTTTGGAGTTTCATTTATATTACCCTACATACTGAGCGATGCATGCTGCTCACTGGACCTCTTACCTTGTGACAGTGAACCCTTTGCCCAGCAGGATCAGCATGAGGAGGAAGAGCAGAAAACTCACAGAGAAAAGTAATTTCCCTGGAGACGGACGAAAGATAATCAAAAAGAGAAAAAAAAGTAATTAGACCATCTTTTTTTTCGGAATCTGTAATATCATAACCGATAAAGGGGTCACTACACACACACGTTCATGCATGGCCTGTCAAAATGGCTATTACTTTCCCCCATCCACCCTCTCCGTCATCCTGCTTTGGCAGCGAGCGATTATTTCAAGCACAGTGCCAGTCATTCGCTGGGTGGGTGGGTGGGTGCGTGATACGTGGGGAAACTTACCGAGTAATTTGAGGCTGCCGTTGCCAACTCCATCTCGCCCGTACAGGCCCCAGTAGACACAATGGAACAGTAGGCTGAGCACTAGCAGAGAGGAGCGAAGGAGCGCCCAGGGGAGACCGGTGACAGGGGAGGAGGGGGAGAGAGGAGGGAGGAGGCGGAGTGGGGGAGACAATAGGCACGAGAGGTTGGATTAGGATGCGACAAAAGTAAGTAAGTTATTATTCTAGCATACATTAGGGTTTTTGCTAAAGTACAATATACACATCTATAAATACTTCTGAACCAAGTGCAATTATAGCTCCATAGTTCCAGAGTTTATTTTATCTTACCATCGTATTATCTTATTTTAATTCCATTGTCTATTATCTTAAATAATAGACTCTGTTTGATGTGTGCAATCTGAGTGCTCTTCTTTCTCTGCTGCAATGTGCGCAACGATGGCAAACTGTGGGACGAATTAAGGAATATCTTATCTTATCATAAGCACATAGAAAGCCCTGTTTCCACCAGCTCTACTTGACCCTACTCTACACAACTCTGGGGCGTGTCCACCAGCTACTGTTTTTGCTAACCAGGCCAAGAGATTCCCGTTGTGCTATGCCATGATTAAAGAACACCCTAAATCACTTTTTTTCCAGCTTAATTATAGAGATTTTTCCTAAATTGACCAGCCCTGCGTTATTTAGACTCGTTTAGACACTAATTTAAGGTATTTTTCTTCTACTTTTAATCTGTGGCCAGTCATTTTGACCAGAGGGGAGCACAAGGGTTAAATGTTTTATGATATTAAGAAAATAAGAAAAATGTAATTCCTTTAAAAATGGGTGTGTGCAACAAGTAGACGTGTCTAAAGTCGCATAATCATTTACAGTTAAAACAGGGCAACAAACACACGGGGAAGGTGTATAATGTCGACTAGTTTTTGCGCTGTGCACTTGATGAAAGATGGAGGATGAAAGTGAAGTAGAAATGTGTTGTGTACTTCTGCTCAGCCTTTACATCAGCAGTGACTAACACCGTGTTTCATTCAAGGTTCGCACTTTTCGATGGAACATGATTGCCTGTGATTTGCGGTTTTCAGATTCCTGCGATGTATAAAAAGCTTTGCACCCAATTCTTACCGTTTGCCAACCATTGTAAATAGTAACAATTTTATATTTTTATCTTTTTTTTTAATATACTGGTATTATTTATGTTTATGTTTGTGTGATTGTTTCTGTCTTGTTTTGTTCAGCACTTTGAGTTTCCTTGTGTATGAATCGTGCTATACAATTAAACTTGCCTTGCCTTTAGTAGGGAAATTACAACCAAACATGATATTACTTTTTGTAGTAAGTTAAGGCCCCAGATTGCAAGCAAAAAATATGAAATATATGATTTTTTTTTTGAAGAAGTTGTTTGTCCATTGTTTACAGTAACAAGATATTCATCCTAGCTTACAATCGACAAACTTACAACTTGCCAAAACCTTAAAATAATATTGAAGAAACAAAACAATATTCTAGAAAAAAAACATATTCTCTAAATGTGCAGGCACTTCATTTTAAAGCCAAGAAGAATGGGACGGGAGAGATCAATTCTCCACCGCAACCTTTGTGCTTTGAAAGTAATTAATTAGTACTTTAAATAAATCAATACAGCAACAAGAAGCAGTGTTGTCCTTTTTTTCCAGTTTATATTCTGGCACTTGAGGATGTTGTGGACCGAGATAAACCTTTTATGAAGACATGTCTCCTCAAGGAACTCACTGCTGGCAGCCCACGTAGCTTTAGCTCATAGGCATATAAAGTTGGAGCTTGTTAGCGACGTGAATGAAGGCTTGAAACTCGATTGAGGAGGCATTTAGAAAGGAGACAGCCGGGCGACGGGAGGTAGAGCTGATAAGGCTGCAGAGGAGGGAGGGGAGACGCGAAGATCGAATGAGAAAAGGGCTGTTTGTGGGTAACAGCATGCTCTGGTGAACACTGCTGCGTGCCTCTGCTGTTGGCGATGGGTTCTATTGAGAGGCTAATAAGGCGATGATATCTCCAGGCCCGAAGAGGGGATTAAGGTATGAGATTCTACATCAGAGCGAGCAGCCTCAGTGATGGGTTATCAGGGAGGCTGTACATTTCTTTTAACATCCATTTCACACGGTGTAAGCCAATTGAGAGGGCAAAGTACTCGCGATCTGGGGCTGGAGTAACGGTACTTTGTTTAGGGAGTACTATAGCGAGTCCATGTTACAGCACATTTTACTGTTGGGACCGTACATGGAAAGTTAAAACTGTACTTATAAAGAGACTATGGTTAAAAGAATTGTGTTTGTCCCATAAAAAATAGTCTTGTTTCTGTAATATTGTGTGAAGAAATTACCACAAAATTCTGAAATTTTTTTTTTCACATACCAAAAACTGATTGGATGAGTGAGTGTGGTCCTCTATTTACATTTTTCTGTCTAGAAAAGAGACAATGAATTTAACCAGGAAAGTCTCACTGGGATTTCAGAATCAATTTTTCAGCCGAGACCTGGTCCCAGAGAGAAGGGAACTGCTGTGCATGTTAAACCGGATGGAAACCGGAGCACACAGAGGAAACCTACACAGACACAGGGAAAATGTGCAAAATCCAATCAGGGAGTGAGAGCTGGGAACTAGTTACATGGATTTTATTACAGAGTTTAATGTTTTGTGGTTTCAGTTAGATATGGAGGAAGAATATATCTAAAGGAGCCTGAGCAAGAGTGAGTCAGGTGCAAGCTTACGTAGATGCTTGCTATGGATGGCAAGCCTAAAATGAGAATTGTGTGCATCCAAACTTACTTAAAGCTGGGGTACTTAACTTTGAAACCACAAAAAATATACTATGTAATGAACTAGTTCCTCGCTCTGTTTTGTTGTAGCACTAGTTTCACATTCATGTATCTTTTACCTTTATTTATCCAATAAGAACTAATACCAGACCTCACTCAGCCAATCAGCTCTCACAATCTAGTAGATATATTCTAATAAGACAAAGACAGCTTGTTGTGGACTGACATCTGACTCTTTCTGCTGCGGTAACTTCACTTCAGAACCTCATCTTTAAAGTTTGCCCTTTTAGGATCAGGTAATAGTCTGAATTAGCATAGTGGAAGTTTTAATCATAGCCTCAGCCGTTGAATATGCATTATGGTAAAGCTTGTGTGCACAGTGGATAGACACACTTACCTTCCACACCTGCTGCTGTCATAAACATTTTGTAGGTTGTGTGAAAAAGCTGTCTCCCCTTCAGATTGTCTATGGGGAGAAGAAAAGAAAGAAATCAGGAGACAGGAATGGCAGTGGTGCAAGGTGCTCCGCTGTGTGCTGCTGGGGATTGAGATGAAAAGAATAGAGATATGGGAGCAGATGGTTGAGGAGAGCGAGCGAGGTGGTGAATACAAGGGAAGAGGCCATTAATATGCATCCATCTAATGCATCCTCTACGCCTGTGTCTGTGGAGAAATATATTTAATGTGCCTTTAAGCAGAGTGTTTTTATGGCCAGAACACTGTGGGAAACGGCAGAGGTGCGGGGGAGCAGATTTATGGATGGAGAAAGGGTAATAAATGCTCCCACACTACCACAGCTGGCTGTTTAGGAGCTGCAGTGGCTCAGTGTGACTCACATTGTTCAAAACATGTCACCAGCAAATGTCTAAGGCACTTCATCAGATGCAATGAGAAGCAGACATTGACGTATTTGAATGTTGTGGTGTGCGTTATTGCATCTTGTGTCAAATAATTAAGATACACAAACAGTTTAGTTCTTCCCACTCGATACGGATTTCTATCAAAGTCTCAACAGTATGAAGACTGTATTATATGAGTTTGGTTTTGAAGATGAAATTAATTATTCAAATTCAAATGAACTAATTCTACTAAAGACACAGAAATCTCAACTATAGTCATTCAGATGCAGATGATACCTACAGGGCAGGTGTGTGAAAATGCCGCCCAGATATGCCAAATCAAGCCAGTTAATACATGTTCAACTTGCAGATGGTAAGAAGTTGGCCTACTAATACGGCATATAACCAGGCCATTTAATGCATTCCAATTGTTGAGCCTAAAACATAATTAGTAAGAATGAAATCAACATTAATCAGACAAAATATATACGTATATAGAGGGCTGAGGGGTTGAAAGCTGCAGGTCTTAAACATATAGAGGGGTTGAGAGGAAAGATTTACATGAAAAATATATATAGTTGGCCAAAAATAATTAATAGTTTAGTTCAATCATTTTCTACAGAATAATATACCATAAAATATCCAAACTATCCAAACATAATGTAAAAGTAATCCTTGAGCGAGAAACAAAGTCCACTAGCAAAACTATTAACACGACCAGCTCTTATTTTTAAAATCTGGCTCTGGATATAAATGAGTTTGACCTGCTATAAGCCTTTTGCATCTTGTAGTAATTTTTGAATATTGTAACCTTGAAGTCTTATAGAATAACTATTGCAAACTAGTATACAATAGAAACTAGAAACTTGCAATGGCTGAAGCCATTGCGATTGACTGCGGAACAGATCTAATGTGGAAATCTGCTAAAAAAAATCCTTGAAATCCTTTAAAAGGCCTTGAAACTGTTAAAATACTTGATAGATATTTGAAACTCCTGAAGTCCTTGAAATTGTTGAAACCTTTAAACTCCTGAAATCCTTGAAACTGTTGAAACATTGAAACTCCTGAAATCCTTGAAACTTTTTTAAAACCTGGAAACTGTTGAAAGTGTGGAAACTCCTGAAATCCTTGAACCTCCTGATATCCTTGAAACTGGTTAAATTCTTAAACAGTTGAAATCCTTGAAACTACTGAATGTATTGAAAGTGTCCTTGAAACTGAAAAATCCCCTCACCGCTGAAACAATTTGGTTCCTGTAACTAAGGAAACCTGGTCTGTGGTCATTATCTGGTGGTGGTCTGAGTCTTCGTTTGGGTCTTGGTCTGGTGGTATAATGCAACCTATTAGGTTGCATTATACTGGTTTACATGGAAAAATCCCTATTAGGTTGCATTATACTGGTTTACATGTACAAACACGCTTGAGAATACCTTGGACAGCACTACATTACATCACAACTCTGAGTCTGCAGACACTTTCCAGAGACTCCGACAATATCTGAAGGCTGCTGCCGTTTTCACAAGTTTACTCAGAAAATGCACCTTTCAATATCTTAAATGTGGTTTTACATATTAGCCTGCCCACTAAAATGGACCTAAGTGACAACCGTCCATCTGGAGGTTTGTGGCTTTAAAAGTCGGTTGTACAGCTTTCCCATTTTCCCCCCCTTGTACGGTAGTTCGAGATGATATAGGCAATAATTAAGTTTCTTTTGGTTTTATACAATTGCTATTAACTGCATTTCAGAATTATTGTTAATCAAGCTATGGGGGAGAATATGGGACCATATATTGTCAAATGCAACGTTACTTAAAGTTAGAGCCTTCTCTGTCCGGGCTCCTCGGCTTTGGAACGACCTGCCCGAGGAGATAAGGCTATTCTTGGGTTTCATATGACGTCAGGACAGTGGCGCGAATAACAAACGTGGTTCAGGACGTGACGTACCCTGGCGGTGCAGTCTGCCGGGTTTATACACGGAGATATAGTAGAAGAAGAAGCGCTGTCAAAATGCCATCTTTTTGTGCGGTGTACGCTTGTAACAACCGCACAAACAGAGAGAAAGACTAGAGTTTGTTCCGTGTTCCAACTGTGGTCTCATATAAAGGAGGACACTTTGAAAAAATCACTGGAATGAGGCGGGCGAGGTGGATCAAGGCTTTCCCAGATCAGCGCCCCCTGCAGGACACACGAATGAAGCGCAGCAATTTCTTCTGTTTTTCTTTCCCAAAATGCCTGAAATCAAGACTCTTTTGAGAAATATTCTTTAGTACTCCCTTAGAATTGAGTGTCCCCGATTAAGACTGTTACAACAACCGTACACCGCACAAGATGAGAGCCTTTGACTCCAAAACAGACACGATTTACATGGTTTTCAATGAGAGCAAAACTGAGTTAACCCATGTCTGCTCATTCTACAGGCCAGTTTAATGAAACCCAAGAATAGCACCATCAGTATTCTCTTTTAAATCATTCTTAAAACCCACTTTTATCGAACAGCTTCTAATTGTCAGCTTTAAACTTCTCGTTTTGTCTTTCTTCTTGTGTTTCCTCTCTTGACTTGTCTTCCAGTAGCTTCTGTTCTATCTAATTATTTTGACTTTGTATTATGACTTTTAATGTATATTGTGCTGACTGTGCAGCGCTTTGTCGACAATGTTTTTGAAAATTACTATACAAATAAAGATTTATTATTATTATTATGAATGACTTTTACTCTGCCTATAACCGCTAAAATTGTATTCATAAAGATTACTTACAATATTCTAGGACCAGAGTGTATATTAAATGGATGGATGGATTTATACATAGAGGTATATAGGAGGATTTTCTACTTCCGGGTGGATCATCAAGACTATTGGTCTCCCAATTGTCAATCATTCTGGTGATACGTGCTCGTCAAAGAAGACCAGAGACATTTGTTCAAAAAGTGGAGAGGGCGGTTCTTTCCTAAAATTTGGGGACATTTTATAATATACCTGTAACTTATTAAAAAACAAGTGACATCATTACAATAAATTTATATCTCTAGGAACTGTCTACACTTTGTTTTAGGAGGCTAAAGATAACGTTGTTTGAAGTATGAAGTTGATCTATACTTATTAATCACTGATATTATTTTTGTCTCCATTCTGTAACCTGTGATGCAACAGTTAAACTTCTCTCATTCATTCAAGATTCAAGAATTCATTTGCCATTTGCACTAAAACCACATTGGAAAAACTGTGCAAGACTACCCCAGTGTGCACCAAACAGCACACCCCAGAGCTCATGCGGAATTCATTTCTTATACTGTGAAAAGCCGACATGTTGTATTCGAGCAAAACAACTCCTGCTATTTCTTCTTTGTCAAACGTGTATAACGCTCAGCCTCCAGGTGGCCTTCATATGACAGACACAGCGCTTCAGTAACTCCATATCTGCTCCTCCCACATCCACTCAGGCATGAAAACCGCGACATGAAACCAAACCTGGCCTTGGAAGCAAATGGCCAAATGTTCTATCTTTTACTACTTTTGAAGGAGACACAAAAATGTACTTTGAGTCCATCAGAGAGACGTGCAAAAAGAACATTAGAGGCTTTTAACGGACATACTCACAGGCGAAGTAACAGGAGAGCAGGAACACCAGAGAGAAGATGACCAAGAAGGTGATGTCTGTCTCCAGGATCCCTGAGGCACAAAAGTCAGGCATTGAATGTGTGCTTCTATTTAATACCAAGACTGCCAGGATTCTGAAACTACTACAACTCCCAGAGCAGTCATTTTGACAGCTCCCATTCAAATCAATTGCATTATGAAAAGGTCCACAAAAGTTAGTGAGTTTCATTCTAAGTATGTATGCGATTTTTACCTTTTTTACCTTTACTTACTTTTTTATAAGTGATAAAACTGGTGAATAACTTGAAATGTAGTAAGCACACATCATGTTGCTACGGTAACTAGGACTTGCCTCTTCTCTGGTGGAAAACCAAAGAAGAGCCAAGAGTTAAAGGTAGAATCCTATCTGCTTCACAATGGCTTCTGAAAAAGCAAGTTTACATACATGAGTGAGTGAGTGAGTGAGGGTAATATTTTAGTAGAAGTTGGGGAACTGTATTTATTGGTATAAAATGTAATGTTTTGTGAATGATGTCATTTAAAGTCTGTAAATGTAAGGCACGGTCATGTATCCATCTACATTGTAACCAGCCTGCCCAGGGACTACAGGTGGAAATGAGCATCTTTGCTATAATCTGTTTGGTACAATGCATCTCTCCTTTGTGTTAATGTTTAATTGTACACTGTCCCTGTTCAAATAAAGTACATACCATACCACTTTATTGTGCGCCACTTTATATATTGCTGCAAACTGTACCTCGGTATTGCACCTTATTGAACTGCATTTTAATATGTATTTTAGTAACTTGCACTTTTTATTTGAACTGTATTTTATATGTATGCTATAAGATTGTATTGGCAAGGACTACAGATGGAAAGTAGCTGGTGCTAAATCTGGTGTAGCCATCTTTTTAATGCAACTGCACATTGTCCTTAGTAAATAAACTTAAATAGAGTTCTTTTTAAAGCATATTTTATCAAACATGTTTCCAAATTGCTGCATAGATTAAAGTAACACATTCAAATATACAAGTCTGCCAGCTTTAAATAAATTCTATAAAATAAAATAAATAACTATCTATACAAATAAATATACATAAAACAGAACTACTCACATTTCACAAATAACCGATCATGGAAATAATGACATAGCAAATAAAGCAAATAAACATAACAGTCACAACAGTAGGAGGACTTAAATTGCACACTGAGATAATACGCTTCCAAAACAAAAACCCGTCAAATTGACTGCTCTGGGAGTTCTAGCGTTAACACATATTGCTATTACTAAAGAGAAGGGTCTAAACACAACATCAAGTGAATGTAGTATTGTATTGTTATTATAGGATGTTCTTGTAGCGACTAAAGTGGTGAGCCATAATCGGATATCAAACTAGATGTTAAAGTGTTATGCAAATTAGATTATTTTGGCTGAATAATCTCCTGAACACGGCATGATGTAACATCCTTGTATCGTTGGTAACCCATTTTACAGTCCATTTCCAAAGCACGTTTTGACAAATTATGTACGCATTCTATTTTCCACCAGGATCATACCTAATATTGTAATAGTACCCTCTATTTTTTCAATCACCACTGTGTCTTGTTTGTGTGAAATGCTCCGTGAATTTGAATCTCGCAGCTTCAGTGGCTAATAGCGTCGTTAGATCGGAGGTGGGAGGTCCTGGTGCAGATATAGGGATAATTCATTTGTGAAGCACCTTGGCTCCTGGATCTCCTCCCCCTCAAGCCTCCGCTTTGACTTCATCTATCATCATTATCTCTTTCAGACGTCTTTTCATTATTGTCATTTTGTTCAGTGCACTGTGCTTTATTGGCCGTGCTAAGTGGTGCTGGCTCGTGCTTCAGCCGCTCCTCACTGAAATCTCTCTCTCTGTTTCCGTTTTTAATTGCTCTCACCGAACTCGTCTGCGGAGAAGTGCTTGGTCCAGAACGACTTCCCATTGGTCAAGTTCATCTCATACTCCAGCTGGAGCCCATCGCCCTGACAAAGAGAAACAAAACATGACTTGATCGATTTAATTTCAGCTAAATTAGGGACCAGCATTAACCTTTGACAACACGCACACACTCACCAATGAGCAATGAATGAAGGGAGGGGAGAAAGAAAAGGATAATGGAAGTAAAATCAATTTCAGGGAGATTCAAAGGTCAGTAAGCTATCTAGAAAATCATCTAGACAGCTGCGCATTGATGAGTGACGAACTTTTGAAAACAAAGTAATCACGCTCATAAGATAATTATCATGGGGGAATAATGAGAATATGTCTTTGAGCCTCAGGAATTTCAGATGCAAACATTTGTCACAAAAACCCCAACCCACGCCGCAACAGTCAAGCGACAACGCCATAGTACAACATGACATTGTCCTCGTGTTGTGGACGGGTACAAATAGGCTTGTCATAATCCACTGTCGACAAGAGTGAGGGGGCCTACACCTGGGAACAGCCATTTTTTTGGCGGTCGTAAGCACTGCCATGGGAATACTTTGGTGTCCGCTGTTATGTCCGAGAAAAGTCATTCAGAGGAAGGACCAGGGGAGACCAACATAACAGTAATATAGGCTCCCAAACTGAATTAGATTTTTTTTAAATGATATTTCATAATTTTCTGAAGTTTATTCTTGACTTTCTCACACATTAAGGGCATCTTGAGATTTTCTATGACAATAACTTTGATACAAGATGCTATGATAATATGTGACAGTGGCTCAGTTGTTAGAGCATTAGCATTTGACCCTGAAGGTCGTGGGTTCAATCCACCCCCAAGACCTTCTCCAACGACTGTTGTTGTGTCCTTGGGCAAGACACTTAACCCTACTTTGCCTGAAGCCCTGCCTGAAAGATGGTTGGATAATAACATGTGAAAGGTTTTAAAACAAATCTACTCTGGGGGAAATCGACATTTGCACAAACTACCCCATCGGATGTTTAACCATAGTCAAATGCAGCAGTGATACACAACTTTGTATCCCCGTACAGCTATTGTTTAGTATAAGCATATGTTTTGTAGTGTAGTTATTCAACTTTTTTACAGCTTTCTATCTTGTTCTAAGATGGATTATCGGCATAAGTCAAGCAGCGCTGTAACGTGCATGCAAATAGCAGGAACCATGTCTGTGCTGTTGGCTATAAAACCCGCTGTAACAAAAGCAATGAAAGTCAGTTTTTAGTGGATGTTCGGCTGAAGTTTGAGCCGTTGTGTTTCATAATTTATCCACACATCTGCCGGCAACGCACGCAGGTCATTTAGACGTATCCCATTCACCATTGCTAATTTATTGGCATACAGTAACAGTGTCGATCAGCAGTCGTCTCGGAGGACTTTACAAAGTTGCCGATTCTTCAATAACAGATCATGCTTGCTAATGAGATTGCTAAATCAGCACGCCTAATCAAGGTAATAACAACTGAAAAACAACTGGTCACAGGCGAGGACGTAGCTCTTTGTGCTCGTTCATTCGGCTTTGTTGAACACTGTAGGAGAAATGAAAGTTCTCTTAATCCTCATTTTGTGGAACCATTGAGATTAATTTTAACGTGTGGAAAAGTGGCTAGTGGAAAAACACGTTCATCTTTTCAAAATCAGGTACCTCACCTTTAAGTCATCAACACAGCTAACAAATGTAGTTCATTCACATCATTATCCACAACAGTGCTATAGTCATGCTGCTTTCTGCTCATAACATTAGTTCGTTAATATTCCCATCTGCTATGTTCATTTTCTTTTTTTCATACAAGAAAAAACATTAAATATAGTAATTAGTTTTGACATTTCCTGTTCTGTAGCAAAAGCAAACATTCGAGCAGCAAACACAAAGCACAATATATTCTCCACAATGTCTGTATGGCCTTTAGAAAAAGGTCTGTGTGCAATTTTACCTCAAACAAAGGGGGGGCATCATTAAAGGGGAGGATTTGAAAGAATGTTCTCTGCGTCAAGGCGTTCCATAGGACCTGGCAGCTCCTGAGATGTGATGTCTTTGTGTGAGTGAGGCAATATGTCCGGGCAAAAATGTACGTACAATGTAAAGTAAAAATCTTTATAAAGTTTTCAAAGCTCAGTGCGATATGTCTGGAGATGGACTCAGCCCAGAAGTCAACAGTGAATTTTGAATGCTCTTTTGTAAAGTCTGGCCACAGGCTTCAGCGCGTGGTGGTGAGTGACAGTCCGACTCGGTGGACGGACTATCCTGTAGGTATACAAGGGAGCAAACTTCCAATTAAAGGTATATTCAAATCCCCGTCAAAGTGTGTTTTCTTTTTGTCAAGTCCTAAATTTCCATAGCGATAAATTAGTAAAAGGTAAGCGTCTGCATGTGAAACTGCAGAGTAGAATGGGTTCTGGCATGGAACAATAATGCATTTGTTTACGTACATGCCAGAAAACCATAACATTGAAATATTCCAATGCCCTGTTGGTCTTGTCTGAGCTCATTTACGTCTCTGCAGCATAAATCCATCCTCCAGCTCACGGTGGGTGTCAAGTGGCTGCTCTGCATCAGTATTCACCCCACTGCGCGGCTCTGTGGACATTCTTTGATTGCTACGGGTGGTTTTAACGGACAAATTGTGTCCTACCAGCTTCACATTCAAATCGAATCCAGATCTTTGTAGGCCTTTTCTCAGCCACAAAGAAGAGGGAGAAAAACAGTGCTATCTCCACAGGGAGGTGTGCGGTGTTAGCTTGGCACCAGCAGTAATTGTGTCATATAGTGAACCGGTTTCCCAGCAGCCCTCAGGATCCCTCAGGTGGAGAAAATAAAATAATCCCGGGCCGCTCAGCCTTAGTGCGCTGCCAATACGAGGATGACCCACATTAGCACAAAGGATGGGTAGATGGATGATAGATAGATGCATAGTCATAGCAACACTTTTGATTCCTCGCAAAGTATTCACAGAATGAATGATTTAGTAACACATTCTCTTAGTTTTTTATAAGACTGCAGAATACATGTTGTTCGAATGGAAAACAATACTAAAAACAGTTTTTAAGTAGTACATATGCTCATTGGCCAATGTTTGAACATGTCCAGGTCTACAACAAAGTCACAAATAGGCCTTCTGGGATATAACCATAGAAGTGCAACAATAATGTTTTTTGTTTTGTTATCAAAGTAATGTATAGCACTGTTCCTCACATCATGGTACAGGGTGATGTGGACGTTTCAAGGTAAATGTCAACAAATATAATCTACTGAGCAGCCAATGTTGTAGCAGCTGTAAGCCCTTATAAGAACTCTTTGGTGTCCTGTTACGTCTGGTCTGAGAAAAGTCCTTCAGAAGAGGGACCAGGAGAGACTCCCCAGGCACAACAGGACGGACAAACTGCCACCAATCCCTGGGAACTCCATGAGGAAGAGGGTGCCAGTCACTGTGCGAGGAACGTTTATGGAGTTAGTTGTACATTGTGCATTAAAATTTCTATATGTGTTATAAAATAAATAGTCCTGGAAATGCACAATAGTTAGTACTGTTACATATTTTTTGTGTTTTTAACTCTTACGAATCCAAATTCCAAACTTATCTTCTGTTAGTGAAACTTCCTTTTTGTAAATTCCGTTTGATCAGTTTAACACACAAATCCATGCAACAAAATGCATCACCCTTGTGCACTAAGCCACCAGATCATGTAAATGTCTGTCTGTTTCTCTGACAAATCGGCGTACAGTGCAGCGCGGTGGGGTAGGTGAGTGCATCCGGCGAGATAGAGGATCGAGATCAGTGGTGGGGGGCCGCATCGCTCCGACAATCACACCAAAGCGAGCTCATTTCACACACGCCTGTTCAAAGTCAATGGGGTTTGTGCCTGTTGCTGTGAAGCGAGGGAAAAGCACAGGAGAGAGAGAAAAGACTTTGATTTCATTTGGCAGCCTGAGACTTCATCTTACACCCTCTATCAAAAAGGGCTGAGAAGCATGGAGCGTGCAACTGTCACAAAATCAATACGGCCGCAAAGAGCAAAGAGACAGAGTTAAGGAGAGCGATCGGACTAAAGTTTGGAAAGCAGGAGAGGAGAGCGGTGGACAGTGAAAAAATATTATACCTGTGATGCAACGCGAAGATACCGAGCAGTGAAGGAGGCACCATCTTGCTCTACATCCGATAACAGCATTCATACACAACGCAGCAGGGAGACGGAGGACTCGGGCTGAATATTAAGAGGGGAAATGCTAGCAGATGTATTTGCAAACATGGCAGAAAGTTAATCCTCAAGTGTATTGGATTTGCACAGATACTAGTGCGTGTTTGCGTTTGTGGTAAATAATCTGATATTGCAGGGGTTAGTTTATACAGTACAGGACATGTTAGAGGAGTGCGTGCTACAGCTACTGTAAGCCACAATTTACCTATCGGCTTCAGTGTGTCAATATATGCACGGGTTATATTCAAGTAGGGCTGGGAAATAACTATAATTACATGTAAAATAATAATAAATATAATAATAATCATAAATGTATTCAGTTAATGAGCCTTTGTGAAAACTCTGTAACAGAAGCAGATGTGTAAGTAATTAGTAAGTAATCTTTATTTATATACCGCCTTTTCACTGCACATCGGAGTCTCAAAGCGGTTTACAATTGTTATTTTTGGGAGTGGGGGTGCCAGTACAGGAGGCACATGCCAGACCTATTGTACATATTTTTAGTGGTAGGGGAAACCAGAGCACCCGGAGGAAACCTACGCAGACACGGGGAGAACATGCAAACTCCACTCAGAAAGGCCCTGGTCCAACCGGGATTCGAACCCAGGACCTTCTTGCTGAGAGGCGAGAGTGCTATCCACTCAGCCACCGTGCCGTGTTGTTAAGATGTTAGCTAAGATAAGCTTGAGTTTCCCTGCACATGAAGACATCTGATTGGTCAATCTTTACGGCTCATATCTGGATTTACAAAGACGAAATCAAAATGTAAACACGGGGATCATAAAAGACGCTAAACCATGGATTCTCAAAATGGTGAGTGTGACGCAAACGGTTACAGAG